ACATCGTAACTTGATGAACTCAACGTCATAGTGCTCGTCACGATGCTGCGAGACAGAGAAGTCTGCGCCAAGGCTCTCTGCAGGTACAGTGATACGAGTGATCAAGCTGAGTAATTTTTATTTTCTTATTTCACTTGAAGTGCCGCATCCATTAGAGTAATAGAAGTGCGTCTCTTTGTTTGTTGGGAGGGTAGAACAATGTGGGAAGTGAAAAGAGATAACGAGAGAGTGTGAGAAGAGAGATATGTATAATTTATATCATTTTCATAATGGTTTTACTAGTGCGATGTAGCAATGTAGTTTTATCCCGATTTCAAATTTTTCTACGTTAACTCAAACATGGCGTTCATTTTCGTCGCTCTCTTTTATTTGTTTATGCATTTTGCGTTGAGTGGTTTTATTCCCAACAATAAAGTGGCCAGTGAAAATGCTCCTTCGTGGCGTTACTGTGTCTTGTGTAGTCCTATATAGCTGTCAATTACACCAACATGGTAGTGGCTTAAGTGATTACTTTTGATTGGCAAATTATTACGTCCGATGTCCGGATTTGTCCGGACACCAATCCAGATGCGCCACATCATCAAAATACACCGGGTCCCAGTGTATTTGAGTGACGTGGCGCATCTGGATTGGATGTCCGGACGTCCGGTCACCGGACGTAATAATTCGCCCTTTTGATTGGGGGAGTACTTCGTAGGGATTTTGATGCAACCATTCTTTTGTATTGGATCATCTGCTAGCACATGATTTGAAAAGTTTTTTGTCTTGTTGCTACTTCCGTCCATTTTGTTTGTCAAGCCGAGCTTTGTATTCAATGGTGAAGTTGCAGCACAATTATTTGACTGAAAAGTTGAAGTTGTTTGATGCTTTTTGGGCGAGGAGAGAATCTAATAGATATTAGTGATATTTAGTCATCGCTTTACGTAACTTAGGTTTTGTTTGGGATGACTTTCTTAATGCTTTTTAAAAAGGGTTTTTAGAACAAAAATTTAATTTTTTATAGTAGATAACTACTTTAAGAAGCAGTAAGAAAACCGCCCCAAATGAAACTTTAAAACTTGCTATCGTTGTTCCTAGATGATGTCAAATGCCACTACTCATGAAGGATCTACATTTAATATAAACGGTCTTTTGAATTTGGAAGCCATTGTATCTTTGAGAGCTATAAAATGTCTGTTATAGCGGTGTAAGTGAGTCAAGCCAGTGAACGGGCTCGAGTTCGGTTCGATAAATAGATTGATAGTTGAACTTGATGAACCAACAAGCCAAATTTAAGCGAGTCTCTACTCAATTCGTTTGCTCAAGAGCCAACCCATTTAAAAAATATTAATATAAAATATATTAGAATTTTGGAGTATAATTATAAAGCTATTATTATAAACATATATATATATAACTTTTTTATATCAAGTAATTCTTTTTTTATAATATTATAATTTCTCATTTTACTTATAATTTTCTTATAATAGTTGTTTGAATCATAATATTTTCTCTTTTATTATATATAAGTCAACTCGTGAGTCAATTCAAACTCGTTGAATTAAGCTCAATTCTGAGCTCGAACTCAATGAATTAATCGAGCTCAAGCTCATATTAAGAGTGACTCGAGCTCAGCTCGATTCATTTACACCTCTAATCCGTTCAGCAACCGCTATTTGGTGGAAGAAATCACATTATAACATGAAAGGCAATGGAACAACAATACTTTAAAAGCGACAAACGAATTTGTTGTAAGGGCTGAGAAACTGCTGAGTGCTTCTAAGTACATAGCAATGGCCAATTAATGGTGCAGTTGATTTTGTTGTGGCTGGGTTGAAAAACCATGTAGCCAATATTCCACCTGCACTTCTCCCATCAAACATTTGAAATGTTTTAGGTGAAATAAGTTCTCTTATGGACAACTGAAAATATATCAAAATGATTAGAGTGATTACTAATGGAGTCGCTAATGATGATACTTTCATTTGATAAAACTATTTTAAATGGTTCCAAATATTATTTAAGAATTTTATTCATAGCATTATGGAGAAAAGAGGAAACATTCGTTGAACCGAATGACATCACCATGAGGTCATAATGGCTATCATGTGTTTGATATCTTGTTTTGTGAAGTTCATATATACTCTATCATGTGAATAGAAGTTTCAATAATTTGACGTGATCTAAAAATTCGACTCAAACCTGACATGAAAATTTTGGGTTACGGTCAACCTAAACCCGAAATGAGTCGGGTTCGGATTCAACAAATCGACCCGTTTCAAAAATCGGGTCAATTTTGTGTTTTCGTGTCAAACACAAAATTGACCCGTTCTTAACCTGAAAACCCATTTTGACCCGGAAACTCGAGATTGACCCGTTTTGACCCGAAAATCAGATATTAACCCATTTTTTACCCGAAAAATAGCAATTTTTGGACGGTGTCGAGTCATTCGGGTCGTGTTGAGTTGACCCAAACCCCAAGCGGGTCAGGTTCGGGTTCGAAAAATCGATCTGTTTGTAAAAACGGGTTTGGTTCAGGTTGACACGAATAGTGTCGGCTCAGTACTGTGTTCGACCCGAACCCGACCCGTTACCCAAAATTGATACCCCTACATGTGAACTTGGTGATGCACCTTGTAGTTTCAATTTTGGATAGATCTTGCTCCATATAATTCATCAAGCATTTCATCTATTGGGGATGTGAATCTAGCTATAAGGAGTTGTCTCATGATTTAAGGCCTATTAACCATTACAAAAATGCTAAATGTCATCCTTCTTTTTTACTAGAAGAGCTCTCGATAATAAATGAGCTATTGATTGGATGAATTACACTACTATGTAGAAATTTTGTAACCAATTTCTCAATTATTATTTTCTTGAAGTGTGGGTAACAATAAGCTTGAGCATTGGTATGAGTGTTGGATTTGAGATAATGTGGTGATCATTATTGTGTTATGGGGTAGGCAAGTAGGTTCTTTAAAAATGTTCTTGTCTTTGTTAAAAATAACATACAAATGCAAATCTATAGATTGCAAAAGTGTAGAAGTAGGTGATATTGCTACATGGCTTATTGTGAGCTATAAGCGGGATGCTATGGATCCAAGGGTGTCAAATTTTGATATGACCCGAAACACGACCCGAAAAAAAACGGGTTAGGATTAACCCGGACCCGAAACGGGTCGGGTTCGAGTTCAACAAATCAACCCGTTTTAAAAAACGGGTCGGGTTCGCGTTGACCCAGCAACTCGAAAATGACCCGTAATTGACACGAAAACTCCTATTTGACTTGGAAACCCGAGATTGACCCTTTTTTTACCCGATTTTGACTCAAAAATTGAAGATTAACCCGATTTTGACCCGAAAACTAGCAATTTTAAGTGAACTTCGGGTCATTCGTGTCGGGTCGGGTTGACCCGGACCCGAATCGAGTCGGGTCGGGTCCGGAAACTTGACCCGTTTTTAAAAATGGGTCGAGTTCGAGTTGACCCGAATAGTGCAGGGTCAGTTACGGGTTCAACCCGAACCCGTCCCGTTGACCCAAGTTGACACCCCTATACGGATCCTTTTGTGCTCAATTTCAATTGTTGGCCATACTTTGAATGATAGTGTTTCTATGATACATAATTTCAAAAACTCCACGAGTAGTATTAGCCCTTCGAGTAAATCATTATTCCAATGATTAAAAATTATGAAAAATAAGGGAACAAATATAATAGAGAAACAAGAGAAGGACTTAAAAAAAAAAAAAAAAAAAAAAAAAAAAAAAAAACAAAAAAAACAAAAAACAAGAGGACTTGAAATTTTTTCATTGCCTTTTAAAAAGTGAATACACCATAATATATTCCTAATTCTAAATAATAGTAAATCAAACTAAGCTATCATATGGTGATGTGTCCCATATCTCCTAACCACCTCAAAACAACTAATCTAGTTGTATTAAAATACCTAATCATAGAGTACCAACCAACTTAAATTTAAGTATAACTCATATATATTCACCCTAGCATGCACCCCTTCAATCCCCCAAGTTGGAGATAGTCTTTGAACCAAGCAGGAGCCTTATTGACTGTCCGATCTTGTACTTCCATTGATGTCATTATGGATTTGCCATGTATAACATTCATATAATTGGGTCTCTTAAATAAAGTTCAGAACTATGTAATATAATAAAATTCACATCCTATTCTATCAATCTAACCACCAACATCTACCAAATAATCTAATTATCTAATTTAGACAATATTATACGAATCAAATCAGATGACCTACAAAATTAAAATAATTAAAATTAGATTTAAAGGAATAATATAGAGATATAAAAGTATATTTTTATTACTAATATTCCTCATTTGAAATATGCATTTGTAATCTTATTTTACAACAAATTTATCAAGTTTTTTAAAATTATAAGGATTCGGAGTCGCGAGGCAGCTCAAGCTCGACTCGTTTATGGGCTCGTGAGCCAAGCTTATCGAGCTCACTAGTCGAGCTAGAGCTCAAACTCGATCTGGTTTAGTAAACAGCTTGGGTTTGAGCTCGTGAGCTGGCTCAAATAATTATTAATATTTTCTTAATAATTTATTTTATTAATTAGATTTAAATATTAAAAAAAAGAACAACTAACGTTTTATTTAAATGCCAAACCTTGCATTTTTTTTTTCTAAATCCAACCCAAATTTTTTAAAAAATCCTACTTAAGTTTTAAAAATTATGCTAAATTTTAAAAATCTCGCCTAAGTTTAAAAAATCATGCCTATGGCTCACGAGCCGGCTCGAGCTCATTTACAGTGAGACGAGCTCGAGTTCGATCTCGCTTTCGAACTGACAGGCAGAGCTCGATAAAGCCTAAGATAGACTCGACTCGACTCGTTTACGCCCTGTACTTGGGGATTATTCTGTGCAAACGTCAAACACAGCCGTCCTGAGACTAATCAAAATGCGCCACATGTCATCGATACCGAACAATATCGAGCCACAATACCGAATAACACTAAGCTAGATACCGAGCAAAAAGATGATATGACATATTATTATTGATCTTCTGATGACGATCGGCATCCGCACATCTAATCGCACCTTTTAATAATTCTTTTATTTTTTAAGGGAAATATTCCACGTTGCATAGAGTGACAGTGGGTGCGGTGACCAACAAGAACCTACTCTGGGCCCCACCACACTTTGGCCCTTACTTGTCCATTCCAGCGTGTCAACCAATTATAAGTGGGCCACGAAGAAGTTGGGTAATTATTTGGGTTAAATCAAATCGTACTCGCCGGTCCACGCCAGTTTCCATCTACTCGTGGAAGGTAACGGACGAGGAGATAAGATTTTTAATTTCCTACCCCGCCTCTCCCGCCCCTGCCATTAATTTCTATTTATTTATTTCCGAATAATTTCTTCCTGCCTCGGCGATCGTAAACAGAGGTTCTTCCGAAGAGAAAAAGACAAATCGAAGAACAGTAGATGTTGCTTCTGGTAATAATCCCGATACCTTCTCTGCTGCCTTCCACAGTTGTGGAGATGAATGATGGCATTAAATGCTGCTTAAGCGAGTGAAACCCGGCATGAAGTACTAGCTGGATGCGTTTCGTCGATTTCTTCTCGATTTGATATAATAAGTGATTTTCTTTTTCTCCACTATTTGCCGTTTTCCAGATATCGGCAATCATCGTTTGGATATAGTCCGTAGGATCTTTTCTTCTCCGTGCTGAAGTATGCAAAAATCTGCAGAAATGACGAAAGTAAAAGAAAGGTATTCGCGTTTTAATTTAACTGAGGTAGCGTGAGCTTGCGGACTTCTCTTTCTTGATTGTGGAATTTTCTTTTGAAGGCAAAGGTTTGAAGATTGAGGGTATGAGGTTTTGCACTCTGGAATCTCCACGTAGCTGTTGTTCGCGGTGAAAGAACGATCTAGGGCTGGAGATGATTGTTCGGATTTGGTTCTCCGGTATTCTCCTGCTCTGGTTTGCTCTTAGCTCTGTTGGATTCACAGAGCCTGTGGATGACAAGCGAGCGCTACTCGAATTCCAATCAAAGATCGGTCATGGATTCGCGCTTAATTGGAAGGAGGAAACCTCCATGTGCGAGAACTGGAAGGGAGTGATATGTGATCTGGAACGTTCTCGCGTCGTCGAGCTTCGGCTTCCCGGGATCGGATTCGATGGAGAAATCCCTCCCAATACCCTCAGCCGCCTCTCCGCTCTGCACATCCTTAGTCTCCGATCCAACGGCCTCACCGGCCCCTTCCCCTCTGCTTTGTACAACCTCAGTGCCTTAACGGAGATTCACCTCCAGCTCAATAACTTATCTGGCCCCCTGCCTTTGGATTTCTTTGAGTGGAAGAATCTTACGGTGTTGGATCTTTCCTATAATAGCTTCAATGGGAGCATCCCTCCTTCCATCAGCAATCTCACTCAACTCACGGCTTTAAACCTCTCAAACAACTCCCTGTCTGGTCATATTCCTGATCTCCTGCTCCCAAATCTTCTATTTTTCAATATCTCTAACAATCATATCAATGGTAGCATACCCGTGTCCCTTCGGAGGTTTCCGGATTCGTCATTCTATGGGAACGAAATTCACCCCGTTGCTCCAGCATCATCTTCCCCCTTCCCATCGCAGTTGACTCCTGATGTTTCAAGAAGGAAGATTAGTGAATCGGCGCTTCTTGGAATCATAATTGGTTGTTCTTCCGCGGTGTTTGTGGTTGTGGCCATCGTTCTTGTGATTTGTTATTCTCGAAATATAGATGGGACTACTGTGACCATGGGGAAGGAATCTAAGGGCGATGTGTCACCGGAAAAGACTGGTGGAGGAAATTCTGATGAGTGCAAGCAGCTCGTGTTCTTTGATGGCACTTCCTCTGCGTTTGATTTGGAGGATTTGTTGAAGGCATCAGCTGAGGTGCTTGGGAAGGGGACTTATGGGACGGTGTATAAGGCAGTTTTGGAGGATGCTACAACTGTGGTGGTGAAGAGGCTGAAGGATGTTGCAGTTACAAAGAGGGAGCTTGAACAATTAATGGAGGTGGTTGGGAGGATCCGTCACGAGAATGTTGTGGATTTGAAGGCTTATTATTACTCAAAGGATGAGAAGCTTGTTGTCTATGAGTACTATAGCCAGGGGAGCGTTTACTCTATGCTTCATGGTATGACTCTTTCTACTCTTGTCGGTTACAATTTTCTATCTCTACTGGGTTGATAAAATTACAAGCATTTTGCGCTGAAAGATGCTACAAAGAGTAAAGCTAATATGAAATAGTCATTCATAAACAAATTTAGTAGATAGATTAATTGTGTTATCTATATTTTATATTTAATCATTTTCATAGGTTAAAAAATTGTAATAAAGGATACTAACATACTGTTTTAGCTATATCTGGAATGGGTTTAACGTCATTATCTGTCAATGTGTGGTAGTTGGTTCAAATCCCTCTTTTTGGCTGGTGTCTTCTTCATTGATATTGTTGCCCCTTAATATATACCCACAAGAATACACGTGCATAAGATGGACATTCTTAGAATTAATTTGAATAAAATGAGAGCTTTCAATGAAACAGAATTTCTAATAAAGAAATAATTAATTTTTTAATCCATGCTAACAACAATTTAAATTAATATTATAATAATTATGGGCTAGAAAATTTGCAGTTATAGAGTAAGAGAGTTTATATAGTTTTATACGAAAATCCAATATACAAACAAATAAATAAGAACACATGTGACATTAGAGTTTTAATGTAGAAAATCTGAAAAGGGGAAAACCACTTGCCTAACCCAGTGGAATGATTTCATTATATGAGTTTGGTTACAAAGATTTGCTTCTCCCTTAACTTGAACATGACAAAATTATAAGATTTGAGAAATTGTCAGAAAATGTAACAGTCCATTTAGACGTTTGTGGTTGAGCGGCAACAGCTTAACAATATTAGTCGGATGGCAACAATCTGACGATGGCATTAGTGTCTTAGTTCGACGGTGGCGGTTGGTTGGTTAAGGTTTAACAATGGCTCTCGCCCGACGAAGGTTTGACAGCTGGGTTGGGCAATAGTTTGACGTTAGTCCAATAGTGATGGTAGGGTGGTAGTCTGAAAGAGGCAACTAGGTGATGGTTCGATGATGGTGGTCGAGCGACAAAGGCCCACCAAAAGCAATCTCCTGTGAAGTTTTGGTAGACACAATTCAACAGTTGTTCGATGGAGACGGTTATATGGTGGTCTAGAGGTGGCAGGGCAAAGGCTCTATGGTGACGGTAAGGTGGTGGTCGACAGGCAAAGGCTCGATGAGGGTGGTCAGTTGGTGAAGGTCCACAAGAGGCAATTCTCAGTGGAGCTCTGAGATTTCTCATGCCTTTGACCTCTCTTAAATCTCTTGCATAAGTTTCCTTTTATGTAGAGTGGGGGCATATTTATAATTTTTTTTAGAGTGATATGCCACGCAAGTGCGAAGAAAATTCGAAATTCCATCATATGACCCATGTTGATTTCCTTTATCATAAAACATTCATTCAGGATTTAAGTGCCTTAATGTTGTCGAAATTGACTAATATTGGGCTCATTGGATTCGTCTCATCATGACGCTTGATTTGACTAATAGCTTGCCACATTTAGAGGTCATTTGGTCCCCAAATTAGAGTTTGGATGGTTATGGATTCAGTTTATATTTGCATTTAGATTTGTGCTTAATCAAGTTTTTTTTTTTTACTAAGATTTGTACTTAATCAATAATATCGAGTTCGATTGATAACTGTCAATGTACATAAATTTTTTATTATTATGAATAAAGCAATTGCATTAAAGAGAACTGTAGCCTTCTACATCTTTGATCTTCCATCTCAAAAAATATTTTTTTTTTGTATTAATTAGCATATCACACTAAAATAACCAAGTGTCGAAAAGATCTCTATAATAAAGTGATTTTAAGAGCGTAACATATTGAAGTGGTTGCCGAGAAGTTTTTTTAATCAATAGTTTTAGGTTCACGCAAATCTAATACACCAAAATAATAATCCTTCTGTCAGAAGCTATAACAGGAATATGGTCTACTTGTTTCTTATTATATCACATGTGAACTGCATTTGCAACAATTCCTCTTGGATTTCCCAAAAATTAAAAACAATTCCTCTTGGATTGATTTTAATTGAATTTCTCATACAATTCAATTTTTTTTCCACTAGTGCCCCTAATCTTATAGGGTTAAGGAGGCTCATTTTATTGGAGTGCAAAAGTTTATTTCTTGCATGATTTATATGTACTAAATGATGTATATGTCAGGCTAGCTCTTGAGCCGACAATGGACTCAATAATCTATAAGTTTCTTCATGAGAAGTGCCCATAATGTTTCCTTCAATAAAATTTGAAATGCATTAAAAATAGGCATACATAATGAGTTATCAATTTGTGCAACTAAAAAATTTACAATATTTAGGGAAATCAGCTGGTATTAAGTTCAAATGATGAAACCCAATCATGAACATATGCAACCCCCCTTAAAACTACTAGTGCCTTCCTAAAAATAATCTTGAGAGTCACATTCTCAATCACGCTACCCCATCATAAAGTATTGAAAATATTGACTGTTTGAGTTTGTGACATGAATTTTGTTGGGTTTTATCGAAAAGCTTACGATACGATATATTTGGTGCAATTTAATGATAAGAATTTTTGGAAATCTGTGGTGGTGGCAAAGAGGGGACCAATCCTACAGCCTGTGACTTATAGCAATAGCGGTGGTACTCCTGCGGGTACAAACCTTTATAATGCTTGCATGCATATTCAATTATTCATATAAATGAAATTAGGATTTTATGGTTATGTTGTGTGTGAGCCGTCACTCTCTTCTTATACGAATTCATCGACATATTGAATTATTTTCCTTTGTGCATTTTTTTTTTTAATTTGAGCTTTTGTTGACTATTTTTTAATATTATTGTTATGTTAACTTTGGACAAAGCTGAGAGGCAAATAACTCTTGATCATATTTTCCTTTGAGGTGATGAGATGCAATATAAATTGAGCAGTGCCATTAGTACAATTAAGAATAAATTGCAATAGGATAAGAAGCGGTGGCATCCCTAGCTACCTTAACAATAGGTGAAGATAATGATCATAATCATGTAGTCCACAATAATACTCCTTCACTTTTCACATGAAACTCTCTAGCAATAGTGTCAAAAGTGGGTTCTGGAAGGGGCGTTTATGTCAGTAATAACGTCAATAAGGGATGCATTAGCTACACCGATGGTAGCGGGGATAGCGAGAGACCTCAAACCGAAGGATGCTATTTTTCTTTCTCCCCACCCTTTGATTTTCTAGGGATTTAGAAATGAAGGGCAGATGCCATGGTGAAGCAAGTGAGAGGAGCAAAGAGGGGAGATGGCAGACAACAATGTGAGAGACTTAAAAGGAGAGGGAGGGGACAAATGCTTCTCAGAATAATTTGATTCTCCCACAACCAACGTTGATGATAATTAAGAGTTTGAATAAATGAATTATCTGCTTCTCCCCTAGTTGACAGCAAATAACAACAACATTAAGGGCTGTGATGAATTAAGGATAATCGAAGGTTATAACATATATTTGAAATTAAGGTTTAGAATTTTGTTTTGGTGAAATACAAAACTACCTTTCCATAGTGGTATAGATCTAACAAAACTACCTTTCCATAGTAGTATAGATCTAAATATAATATTCATTCATAGCAATGACATTTTACTAATTCTATGGGTACAAGATTAGCTACAAATTAATCTATGGTAGTTAGGTAATATTTGGAAACTTTGGAGCGTATTGCATACAATTTGATAGCGGAGAGCGATATGAGACTTCAAGGAGAGGGATTGGACAGATATTTCTCAGAATAATTTGATTCTCCCACAACCAATGATGTTGTTGATCAAGAGTTTGAATAAATGAATTCTCCGCTTCTTCTCCAGCTAATAGCAAAATATGATATTAATGTTTTTCTAACATATAATACATGTGATGTGAGGGTTATATATGTTTTTTTTGTATTTTTTTGTTCCTTTAGTCAGTATTATTTAATTTTTTTCATATTTATGTCATTGTTCTTCGTGGAATAATGGCTTTTTGTTGTATGTTATTATTCTTATTTATCATTTTATAATTTATTATATGTAATAAAATGTTTGTTATTGTGGACATGCTTGTTATTTTCTTAATATTTTGAGGTTTATAGAGGTTGTTTGGTTTTCTAATAAGGAATGCAAAGTATTTCAAATGCCGGGGATTTCAAAATTTGGGTGTCTGATTTGATGAAAAAATAATACATTGTAAAATTTTATTGAATTCTTTTTTCACTCATAATTCATTTTTGATATATTAGAAACTTGCTCAGTTTAGGGAAAGTTTTTTTTCACCGCAAGCTGACTGTGTTGTCGTCGCCTGTTGCCTTCCATTGGCCACAACTGCAGCCACCAGTGCAACCATTGGCCGCCACCATTTCCTTCGTCTCCATCGGCACCATCAACGCTTGTTGGCGCAACCTGCTCGCCACCATATTCATTCGACTTTATATTATATTCATTTTCTTATAAAAAAAAAAACACAAGTTTTACACTCATCCAAAGAATTTTAAACATTTCAAATACACTAATTCCTTTTACTCTATATTCTTTTTACTCTGCATTATTTTTTAGCAAATCAAATATCCCCTAAAATAATTGTAAATACTATAAACACAATTTTATGTTTTATTTGAACATTGCTTGGCTATGGAATAAAGAAATGGATTTCTTTTGGCACCCTCTGTCTTACTACTACCTTTAAGTTTATTCTTATTTGTAACTCAGGACAATATTTTAACCTATCTTATAATCATACAGATTTCCCCTAAGATTTGCTTTGAAATTCCATGGAAGTACTATCAAAATTTTATAAATCTTACCACCTCATCATATTCCTCCTGCACCTGCAGGAAGGCGAAATGAAGGCTGGACGGCACTAGACTGGGAAAGCAGGCTGCAGATAGCCCTCGGAGCCGCAAGAGGAATATCACACATCCATCAGGAGCACGGCGGCAAGCTCGTCCATGGAAACATAAAATCTACCAACATCTTCCTCAACAACCGCAACTACGGCTGCATATCCGACCTCGGTCTCGCCGCCATAGTAAGCCCCACAATCCCTCAATCGCCTCGCATCGCCGGATACCGCGCTCCCGAGCTTCTCGATGTGAGAAAAGCCTCGCAAGCCTCTGATGTCTATAGCTTCGGAGTTCTCATTCTCGAGCTCCTCACCGGCAAGTCTCCAATCCAAATAACCGCTAGCGGTGGCGAGATGCTTCACCTTGTCCGATGGGTTCAATCTGTGGTTCGAGAGGAGTGGACGGCGGAGGTGTTCGATCCGCGGCTGATGAGATATCCTAACATAGAGGAAGAGTTGGTCGAGATGCTCCAGATTGCCATGGCTTGCGTTGCAAAGATGCCTGAACAGAGGCCAAACATGGCCGAGGTTGCGAGAATGATCGAGTATGTGAGAAAGTTTGATAGCAGCAATCGGCCATCGCTGGAAGTAAGGTCAGAAGAATCCAAGAGCTTGACGCCTACACTGCTACAGACTACTCCAGACTTAGAATCCCCTATGCAGTGAGAGATCTCATCTTGGTAAGGGATTTTTACATACGTAACATCTAAAACTATTGAAAATACATATTTAACACCTAAACTTCTATATTTATTTATATACCATCTTAAACTTTGATTTTTACAATTCTAACATTCTGTTCGTCAAAAATCACTATGAGCGACTGTCTTCCCTGTCAATGACATACTTTCACTGTGAATACAAGTATCTCATAGAGAAAGGAGGATTTTAGGTGGTATATTGATAAATATAGAAGTTTAAGTGTTAAATATGTATTTTCAATAGTTTTAGATGTTATGTATGTAAAAATTCCAATGAAGTATTGTGAAATATTGTGATTTGTTTCAGCATTCTTGTTTGTGCCCTGCTGGTAGAAAGAGTGGCAAGAGCTTTCAATAAATCTGGCCAGTTTTGAACTGATTGATCTCATGCTGGTCAGGGTGGCAAGTAGCATTTATCCTCTGAAATGTCTTAGAAGTTACGCGTTAGGGTTTGTTTGGGATAGATTTTTTAATACTTTATAAAACAACTTTTTATTATAAAAATTAAAATTTTTGTGCTAAAAAGTTGCTCCAAGAAGCAATGAAAAACCCGTCTCAAATGAAGTCCTTAGTTTCATTGTTGATAGTTGATATTATGGTGCCGAGCAAACCCCTATTGATGGTAATTTAGCTCGTTGCTATGGTCAAATGAGCGATAAGAATTCAAATAGAAGAACGTAACCAAAGTTCTGTTTTCCAAGGGATTGGATACTGGCCTGAAATTGTCTTCTTCTATGAGGTTATGGACTATTCTTCTCATTTTATGAAATAATATATTGTTGATTGCGATCTATTACGTTAATTAAGCAGTAGGTTGAGTTTTATTAATTTTCGTAATGATTTCATTAATTATTTAATGTGAAACAAATGAGGATGATTTGAAGATATATATAGTACTATTATAATTTAGATTTATGATCATAAGTAAATTGAGTTAAAAATAATTTATTTTTTTTTATTTAATAATTGGATGTTTATAAAAATGTTTTAATGCCCTGCATAAGTTAATTAAATAAATTTGAACTTATTGAGTAATTTGTCTGCCTATTCACTAAGGTTTCGTTTGTGACAAATTTTTTATTCTATTTTATAGTACTTTTTCAATGCAAAATTTTTTTAAAAGCAACAAAAAAATTGTGATTAAAAGCATTAAAAGCCTAAAGCTTAGTTTGACATAATTTTCTTTATTAATTTTTACAACGGGTTTTTAGCACAATTTTTTTAAAGCAATGACAAAAAAGGGATCAAAAGTTTTTCCAAACAAAGCCTAAGCTGAAGGAAATATTGCAAATTTGTCCTAAGAGCTTATTGTATGCGCTAGCCGGATTTCCTTCTTTATAAAATATATATTTTCATTTGATGTCATATGTCTTCCCTGTTCATAAATTTAATTTATAATCTAGATATGAGTGACTTGCTCATCCAGCTCTCCCAGCTCCTTAAATCTTAAATGAGGAATCACAGTAAGAAACATTTATTACATTCGGAATATGTGCCATAGCTCCACATGCGAATCATGGGAGCTCGCAGCTATGTACTCGCTATGCATTGAGAAATTGAGTTTTGTAACGGAGAAGTCAATATTAACATCTAAAACTATTGAAAATACATATTTAACACTTAAACTTCTATATTTACTTATATATCATCTTAAACTTTGATTTTTACAATTCTAACGTTCTGTTCGTCAAAAATCACTATGAGCGACTGTCTTCCCTGTCAATGACATACTTTTACTGTGAATACAAGTATCTCATAGAGAAAGGAGGATTTTAGGTGGTATATTGATAAATATAGAAGTTTAAGTGTTAAATATGTATTTTCAATAGTTTTAGATGTTATGTATGTAAAAATTCCAATGAAGTATTGTGAAATATTGTGATTTGTTTCAGCATTCTTGTTTGTGCCCTGCTGGTAGAAAGAGTGGCAAGAGCTTTCAATAAATCTGGCCAGTTTTGAACTGATTGATCTCATGCTGGTCAGGGTGGCAAGTAGCATTTATCCTCTGAAATGTCTTAGAAGTTACGCGTTAGGGTTTGTTTGGGATAGATTTTTTACTACTTTATAAATCAGCTTTTTATTATAAAAATTAAAATTTTTGTGCTAAAAAGTTGCTCCAAGAAGCAATGAAAAACCCGTCTCAAATGAAGTCCTTAGTTTCATTGTTGATAGTTGATATTATGGTGCCGAGCAAACCCCTATTGATGGTAATTTAGCTCGTTGCTATGGTCAAATGAGCGATAAGAGTTCAAATAGAGGAACGTAACCAAAGTTCTCTTTTCTAAGGGATTGGACACTGGCCTGAAATTGTCTTCTTCTATGAGGTTATAGACTATTCTTCTCATTTTATAAAATTATATAGTGTTGATTGCGATCTATTACGTTAATTAAGCAGTAGATTGAGTTTTATTAATTTTCGTGATAATTTAATTAATTATTTAATGTGAAACAAATGAGGATGATTTGAAGATATATATAGTATTATAATTTAGATTTATGATCATAAATAAATTGAGTTAAAAATTATTTAATTTTTTATTTAATAATTAAATGTTTATAAAAGGCCAAATTTTGAAAACGAGCATGTTTCATGGCACTTTTATCGGAAGCATCGCGTTTAAAAAAAATTTGAAAACGAGCCAATACGCCAAACTGTTCGGCATATGCATTGAATGTGCGGTATGGATTGGCGCATTCAAAGAATGCGCCGAACTTATAGGCGCATTCTTTGAATGCGCCTACAGGTTACGCGTATTTTAAGAAATGTGCGCAAACATGTCGCGCATTCTGCGCTCGAATCCTACGAAATACGCTCAAACCCTTTCGGCGCATTCTTTGAATGCGCCATTCAATAGCGCGCATTCAATGTATGCGCCGAAGAATTTGGCGTATTGGCTCGTTTTTAAATTTTTTTTTAAACACGCTGCTTCCTATGAATGTGCCAAGAAACATGCTCCTTCTCAAAATTTGGCCTTTATAAAAATGTTTAAATGGCCTGCATAAGTTAATTAAATAAATTTGAACTTATTGAGTAATTTGTCGAACACTCGATTCATTTTGTAATAGTGGGTGAAATGGTTGACAATTTATTTGTGTTGATCCTATGCAGTTCAAATTTTAAGTTGGAGAATGCCAATTGATTGGTCATCCTTGAATCATACGTCCTTACTTTGATTTGTCTGCCTATTCACTAAGGTTTCGTTTGTGACAAATTTTTTATCATTTTTTAAAGTACTTTTTCAATGCAATTTTTTTTTTAAAAACAACAAAAAAATTGTGATTAAAAGCATTTGATGTCCTATGTCTTCCCTGTTCATAAATTTAATTTATAATCTAGATATGAGTGACTTGCTCATCGGGCTCTCCCAACTCAAATCTTAAATGAGGAATCACAGTAAGAAACATTTATTACATTCGGATTATGTGCCATAGCTCCACATGCGAATCATGGGAGCTCGCAGCTATGTACTCGCTATGCACTCCAATTGAGGCTTCGTTTGGTTACCCGGTGCCTTTTCTAAAAGATGGTTTTGAAAACTTTGACTGAGAAAATAGATTTTTGTAACGGAGAAGTCAATATAACTTATGAAAATAGTACAAAAATACAATTCCGTAAAAAACAATTTTACGTAGAAACAACAACTAAAAAACACCTTTACCGTTTCGAAACAAAAAACGACAAAAATAAGCCGTCTCAAACGAGGCCTAAATGAAATACAGAGCCCAGTTGGTCAATGGAAGCAAATTTTCCTGATTTCGCCTGCGTCGAATCCCTAATATGCTTAATCAAAAAATATAGTTATCTGCACGTAATAATTTTTCCATAATAAGAGCTAAAGGCAAGCAACCAAAATTTGAAATAAAGCTCAACAAAATTTCAGCAACATTTAACATATGAAGAACAACAAGGCCAAACGCCCAAATCTGCAACAAATATCAAACCAAAATATCTTCATAGAAGAAGCATTTCAAGTTTTCTGTCTAACCAGTCAAATCATAAAAAGAAGACTCAGAAGAGTTTGTATGGGGAGGAGGCATCCAAAGGGTGGATGAGGTATGTAAGTACTAAAGCCACCAGCATCAGTATGTAAGCAATCCCTTGGTCAATAGATGTTCCTGCATAGAGCTAAAACATTTTACTTGAATAATTAAAAAGTTCCCTCAATGAATATTTTTTCAGACCTGGAATGCCACCAAAATGTAATTTGCATAAAATACGCAGCTACTATATTAAATCAAGGCCTATGATGCACCGAAACATATCCTCAAAGAGGCGTGCAGTGTCCGACACGTATCTGACACGACACGCGCCCGACACTCCTCTGACACGTGTCAAACATGCCTAAAACCTGCCGGTTAAAAAAAATATTAAATATAAATTGGACACGGGTATCTTAAATATTTTATGATTTTTTTAAATATAATTTCTTGTATTTAAAATTTTTACTTATTTAAAATATAAAAACTGAATTTCTTATTTCCTATCCACAACACCAAATCAATGCCCGCACTTAATACCCATTCATCGAATATTCTCATTTTCATTTCTCTTTGACAGTGAAGGTATTTTCATCTCCTCTCGATGATTGATAAACGGCATCGACGTCCGACTCTTGACATCTTAATACTAATTATTTTAAGCACAAATTATACTTATTTAATTTTTATACACTATTTTTCAAATATAAAAGTTATAATGTCGTGTTCAACCTGTGTCTGTGTCCTATATTTTTAATAATTGATGTGTCCCGTATCGGTATCATGTCGTATCAGTGTCTCGTGTTCGTGTTTGTGCATCATAGATCAAGGCTTGTTCGATCAGAGGGATGAATGTAGGATATCTAATCCTTTATTCTTAAGCAACACTGTTTATTGAGAAATTTTTGTCCTAAACTAAGAAGATGGCATCATAAAATATTTGGATATTATTAGCAACAATGGCAAGAGCGGGCAAGAGCAATATTGTTTTGGGTTATTGAGTTAGATAACCTGGCATCGTCCAAATTATCAGAAAGGTAAAGGTGGAGGGAGAAACAAGTAGTTGGATTTCTTTGTGTCGTTTGAACAGTATGGGAAATGGCAAAAAACTTGCCCCTGCTTTCTTCCTTCTATAGAAGTTTAGAGGGCATAGTCATAATTGGCGTAGAAAAAAAAAAATCATTTGCACACAGATTCTCCCTCTCTCTCTCTCTCCCTCTCTCTCCCTCTCTCTCTATGCTTCCTCTAGTAGGAGAATATTTTGATTAGCCCAAGGACCAAGGAGATTATCCTGAAATAATCAGCATATCCATAGTAGATTTATTTGATTGAAGAAATAGTTTTGGCATGAAGAGTGAGTTTATGGTTTCGATAAATAAATGCAAAGTCATTGTTCTAAGTTGGCTGGCACAATGAGAAATGCTCATTTCTTATGTCTTAGGCATTTCAATTTTGAGAAAATAGAACATCTCCTAAACCCCTTTTAGTGTATGGTTACAAAACATAAAAAAAATAAAAAAACATAAACAATGGTGTTCCATCCTATAGTATCAATTCATTTCTACAATCTTTTTGGTTCATAGCCTGACAAGTCCCCTAAAAAAGAAAAGTAAAAATGGAGGAAAAATAGAAATCTTGGGACAGCGCATTCTAATAAGGTGCATTGTTTCGAAGGCCTTTTGTTTCCTACTTTATTATAGTCTTCGAGATAAATTCAAATTATAACAATCACTTCTTACCGCTTAATGGATGAGCTTTAGTCAATGATGAAGGGGGAGGGCAGTGAGACCATTCAGAAGTTGATGCTAATAAGATAAGCATCCATACTTAAAAAAGAGAAAAATATTAAGAATTAAAGAAGTCTGATTATTCAAAATTGAGCTGAAAAATAGGCCTTTGGAGATAAAACCTTTTCAAATTGGTAAATGTTAAAAAAGAATATAGATGTGCTAACTGAGCCAAATTCGGTCAATCCAATGTCTCAGAACGGTGCTCTAGTTATTTCACAAAAACACTCCATTGATCTTTATTAGGCTTGGCCGAAGCATCTCTTCTTGTAAAGGAAAACTTTGAACAAAAGTTTTATGGAAAAGATGAGCTTGAACAGAAGTTAACTGGAATTAAAGCATCAGGACATGCCACTTTTTCATCTAAAAGCTCAAGCAAACTCTATCGGGTTTATTTAGTTGGAATATTTAGGCAGAGCTTAAGGAGGATTTAATTTCAATCTTGCCAAGCAGTTTTAAGGGCTTCTTAAAACCTAAGTTTTGCTAAATCCAGGATTTGTTAAATCTAGTCTTAAATCTTAGATGAAGTTTAATCATTGTATTTAAGAATTTAGCTTTTGAAAACAACACCAAGAACGAGCCTTTATCCCACTATGAGGGGTCGGCTACATGAATATTTTTTCTTCATTGTATCATGTTGAGGGTCAAATTCTCATCTAAATTTGATAAAGAAATGTCATTTATAATATTTTCTAACCAAGTCTTTCAAAAACAATTAAGAATAAATTACTTGTGCGGTTAAGACCTGATTAAAACATATTAGTTTAATTGAATATTGTTGCATGCCGGACCTTTTGTGGCAGTAGAGAGAGAGAATTTAATGTCTTAGTTTTGTATGCATATATAGATAAAAGGGTTTTGCAAGAGACACTAAAGTTCTTATATGAAAAACTCAAAAAAGGAAAATTCACAAGGCTTGACCCAATTGAAATGATTCTACTAGTATTTGTCATTGGTTATATAGATGACTTCCTTAAGGGAAGGCATTGGTATAATATAGTAAACATATAATGTATAAAACATCTTATATGGTAGAAGTTGAAAGAGCTCTGTGGCATGGGAGTTGACATTAAGATATTGTTTACAATGTTTGTTTGGTTGTATTTCTTTGAGGTGGGGCAACTAGAGACCAACAAGTCCTGAATAAATATTGGTGCTGACATCGGGAGTTAGTTGGTGTCGACAGTATTCATCAATCTTATAATTGATGGCATACATTTACATTGTTGATGATAGTAGGGGGTAAAGTCAATTGGTGAGCTAGTCGACAATGATCCGAGGACTGAATGTTGGAGGTAGGGGTGTCAAAATCGGGTTGCGGGTCGGGATCTGGTCATCTCGTTTGAACACGGGATCTACTATTTGATACGAGCCAAACCCAACCAGATTTTAGAAAAGGGTAAGAAATTTCAATCCAAACCCAACCTGTCAGTTTCTGGGTTGACTCGACACAACACGAAACCATGGGAGAAAATGGTTACCTTCGCAGCGAGCGAGCTCCTTCCCGTTGTCGCCGTTACTTCCAATCCAACAAAAAAACAATGAGCTCTCTGCCGCGACTTCCGACCCGACAGAAGGAACGTCGTCGAATGAGGTGAAGAAGTCTTTTATCAATCCAATCATCCAATAATCCCTTCCATAGTCCCGTCGTCATCATTCTTAACAACGAGCTGTCGTGAGTTTTGACCCTACAGAAGGAACGACATCGAAGGCGGCGAGCTGTCGTGACTTCCGACCCGATAGAAGAAACAACGTTGAAGGAGGTGAGATATCGTGACTTCTGACCTGATAGAATTAAGGCAGTGTCACCGGAGGGTGTTGGGATGACCATTGGTGGATCCCCGCTTTGCTCAGGGTGGGTAAATGCCCACCCTAAAAAAAATATTAGAGGGCTTATTTTCAATATTTTGCCAAACTCAAAAAGTATTTTACTTTACTCTTAGAGATAGAATGTGAAATGATTATACACACGATAAGTTTGCATAAGCTCTAGTAGAAAATAAGATCATAGAGATTTGTCTTAGATGGTTTGGTCACATAGTGTTCTGATGACCTAGTTAGAAGAGTAGATGTATTATATGTCCTATGTTAAGAAATATAGAGGTAGATCTAAAAAGACTTGGTTAGAAAGTATTAGAAATGACCTTTGTTTATTAGATTTGAATAAGAATTTGACTCTTAATAGGAAAAATTAAAAAAAAAAAGATTTATGTTGCCGACCCTACGTAGTGAGATAAAGGCTTGATGTTGTTGTACTAAGTCAAAACATTAATCAAAGCAAAAAATTATTGAAAATTTTTCTCAAAGCTTTTCAAAATTATCTGAAATTGGCTATCGAGGCTTTGTTGTGCTCTAAAAAAAAATAAAATTAAGCCTAACATATTAAAAAAATGATCCCGAGGATCTCAAAATCATCTTAAACGGACTATTAGAATAAAAAAAATGACTCAAACACACAAAGCAATCGCCAATGTCTTATCGTTGGTGGTGCCATTGGGCTCGATGGGTGTCACACACGCCGCACATATGAGGAACACGCGTACATCACCCCCTCAAAGCTGATTTTTGTTTTTCCTTTTTTATAATTTTTAGCACTAGTTTTGGGGGCCTATACAAGCACCTAATGTGAGCCTTTAAGCATGCATTTTTTTTTACAATTAACTTTTATTATTATTATTTTTCAAAAGGGAAAAATTAAATTTTTGCTCTAAAAATTTCGAAAAAAGAAATTGAATAAATTTTCTAATGTTTTCTCCCCTTCGAATCAATTAATATTCAACTGGGGCTAGGTGAGAGACATGATTTTCTGACACATAATTCAAGACGATCAAGACTTTATTCTCTTACATAGGCACACTTCCCAAAAAAGATAAGAAAAACTATATGATAAGAGTCTAGAAACCATTGGAAACAATCAAAGCCCAAAGTCCTTATGGTGAGGCATCAGCTTTCCCTTCAAAGGGAAGTTGCCAGTCCCTGTTGGGCAAATTGAATTTAGAGGTGAACAAGATTTTTAGTCCTTACGATGAGGCTCTGATTCTCCCTAAAAAGAGGCATTGTGATGAGGGCATCAACAGGAGATTTCATAGCATTTATCAGAGAAGACACCAGAGATCGACGACTATGAACAGGAGCTTATATTTTTGAGTCATTTTATGTAGTAGTTTATTTTTATTTTAAGTGTTTACTATGTTACCCTTATGGGTGGTCATTTGATGTTGTAGCCCTGAGGGCATTTTAGTCTTTGTATCTTTTCTTTTTGGTGAGACCTATATATAGGTCATTTCTATTGCATTTGGAATGATGATGATTGATATGAAAAATTCAGTTTTTGTTCATGATCTCTTTGTG